TGGACCCCGACACTTTCTTGCCGAAGCGGGCGATTTTCGGCCCATTGCCGTATCTAATCCAGACAGTCGGTCGTGCTGAAAGATATGCTATACGTATGGGGCTGGTTGTTCATCCAAACCATGAGGTTTTCGTGAGCGATTTACTCTCTTTGGTGGAGGAGGGGAATGCTTGGATGGACGAACTTCAGCACGGCCGAAAGCAGCATGCACGTGTGTGGCGAGATATTTTTATTGCAGCTGAGAGGCGGGACAAGAAGCTGCCGCCTCCAGCATTCCAGTGGACCCCTGCGCATCGAGACATCGAAGCTGTGGTGTCGAGCGGGGCTGGTACTACGGAAATTCAAGATTGGCTCGGCAATGCCTGGGCGGACTTTTTCGCAAGAGTTGGCGCTGCTCAACATGCTGTCGCAAAGGTGACGACTGAGAGCGTGGCGTCCGCCCTGAAAGAGCACCGACTGGTTCTTCAGTATGTGTCCTGGGGAATCCAGAGGGTGGTGGAGTCTCAGAAGTACGGACGAGATGTGTTTCCAGGGCCCCGTCCAGTTGAGATTCGTGCGCCTGTGCTCTTTCAAAAAGCGGATGATCATGTATTGTACAAGAACGTCAAGACGGGCGTTTTCAAGTGTAGAAGGTGCGGGGCCTCAGCCCGCACGCCTGCATCCTTCGACAATCTGCGTGTGGGTGGGGGTCGGAAGTGTGTGCCCAGCAAGATCACCCAGGCCCTCACAAATGAGTTCTTCAGGACGTCCCTCGACGTGTGGGAGATGCCAGTGAGTGATGCGCGCGTGGCCGCTGCCCTCGATGCCGCTGCCGCCTTAAAGCCCCAAGGAGCCCCCGAGGAGGCCGAAGGAGGCCCCTCCCAGCCACCTGTGCTCGACGGGGCCTCTAGGGAGGATGTGGACCCCCTCATCCTGGAGTGTGGGGCTCTAGGGCACGATGTGTTCCGTGTTAATTCAATGTATTGCTGCCGTCGTTGTGCAGGGCATTGTTCAGTGTTGCAGGTTAATAGTCTCAGGAAGCTGAAGCGTGAGTGTGTAGGCCTCTCTGACAACCTCAGCACTCGGAGGAACCAGCTCAGGGCGATCGACAGGATCAGCCGTGGGCTCGAGCCACGTCAGCGAGGAGGGGACCCCGAGCCCCCGCCGTAGGCTGTTTTTGGTCTGGGCCCCCAGGTCCCTGGCGTGTGTGGTCCTGGGGCCCCTCGCGTTTCCTGGTGTGGCCGTTTTTCCCTGTCCTTGTTTGTGCTGAGGTATGTCAGTCCAGCTGGCGTACTCTTGGTAGCCTGCACCCTGCACCCTCCTCCTCCTCCTCCTCCTCCTCCTCCACCTCCTTCCCCCCTCCAACTTGTGGTGGTGGTGGTGTTGGTGGAAAGCAGGCCCATCAGTTATGCTTCTGCTGCGCTTGTTCTTCGAATCGTGGTCTTTATTTTATTCGCTGTTTTGCCGATCGGCGCGGGCCCTCGCGCCCCCCCCCTCCCCCCCCTCTGGAGTAGATCTTGGCTGTTTGGGGCGCATGTTTCGAGCAGGTGGAGCCTCTCCCGTACTGGACGCACTGCTGCAAGCAGTCGCACGGAGCAGAGGTCCGGAGCCAGACACCCCCCCTCCTCCCCCCCCCTTCCTCCCACTGTCGAAACGCCGAATACAGTCAACCCGCACAGGAAGGATGGGCAACCTTCTCAAGGGTACCCTTGCATCCTTGCCTCCTCGGTCCATCCTTGGCCACTTTCGTTGGCCGCGCCCTGCTCGAAAAGCTTCACAATGGGCGTCCAAGGCCCTTTACTGGTTGACTGTAAAAAAACGCTCACGTTGTGACGCGTGCCTCGGCCTCACAGATTCGTTCGTGCCAGCGAGTTCGCGCGAGGGGCTCGCCGCGCGGTGCGCCCGATCTCTGGGCCCAGGGTGGCCGGAGTAGCACCCCAAGCATCCAAGCATCCATGAGGGGCTATCGGCGAAGGTCCAGGCCGCCCAACTCCTCCTCCTCCTCCTCCTCCTCCTCCTCCTCCTCCTCCTCCTCCTCCTCCTCCTCCCCTCCTCCCCCTCCTCCCCCTCCTCCTCCTCCTCCTCCTCCTCCTCCTCCTCCTCCTCCTCCCTCCTCCTCCTCCTCCTCCTCCTCCTCGGGGGGGGGGGGGCGTCGACACGGGCAAGGAGAGAGCGGGTGCGAAGGCCGACAGAGCTCTGTAGGCCCCCCAGGTGGGGTCCGAGCAGATGGGGTCGGAGGATCGCGCCGCATCGCCGATGCATGGACGACGCGGCTCGCTCCGGAGCCCGATTTTCTCCGTCGGGACGTTGCCGATGCATCGACGGTGCAGATCCCCTGGCGCCAGCTGCTCCAGCCCCGTCTGTTACCAGCCTGGAACAGATTCCCATCGGTATGATTGGCATCACTTGGTCTCGATGTTGGCCTTCGGGATACCATCATGTTCTGTGGGTGCATCCCTACGATTGTCATCGCATTTGTGCTTGCCAATGTTTGGGATGTGGAAGAGATCGAGGCTGTTTAGTCTGGGTTGCCCCTAGATGGGCCTCGTGCTCTTGACCCACGTTCTTGGGGCGATCTTTCGCCTGCAGGACAGTTGGGGGGGAGCACGCGGCGAAGGACAGGCGTGCGCAACGACGGAATGGGGGACAGCACGAACCGAGCGAGCGCCCCCAACAAAATGTCCGCGACACCGCCGTGCGCGCCGTGCACTTCGTGGTCGCACAGGCAGGGAGGGTGAACCGAGCGGCGTGTCTCAGGGCTGGGCCGCGGAGAGCGAGAGTAGTGGAAGAAGAGAGATCGGAGGAAAGAATCGCGTCACCACCACCAGGGGTGCCACCCCCAGCGAGGAGGTCCACACTGCCTCCCCGACAGCGCGTGTCGTCTCGAGCAAAGGGGGGGGGGTCCGCACCACCAGGGGGACACTCCCTGGCGCCGGGCGCTGGTGGTGGTGGTGTCGCTTGTTTTCCGAGTTCGTGGGAGTGAGGGGCAGGGCAGGGGGGAGGGGGGGGGAGGAGGAGACAGCCGAGTGCCACCGAGGAGGGAGGCTGCCTCCTCCGCCCCCCGCCCCCGCGGAGGCCAGCAAAGGGGCTCTCTCTTGGTCGGCCCAGGCGGGGGCCGACAGCCTCGGGCAAGCAAATCCTCCCCCCCTGTCGCCTCCACCTCCTCCTCCTCTTCCTCCTCCTCCTCCTCCTCCTCATTCCCATCCCTGTAAGCCTTTTCCTTAGCCACCACCGCCTCCATCTCCTGGCGCTTGCGATTACCGTGCTTTCCAGGGCGGTGCGAACGGGAAGTTGGGCCCCCTCACGGGCCTACGGCGCCCCAGAATCGTGTCACGTCAAGTCCGCCTCCTCCTCCTCGTCCTCCTCCTCCTCCTTCTCCTCCTCCAGGGGGCAAGTGCAAGGAAGACTGGGGACACCCGATCAGCCAGGAAAGAAGGCAAGCTTTCGCTCTTCCTCCTCCCCGTGCCCTCCAGCGCGCCAGCAGAACTAGCCCTCCAGACCCATAGGCCCACCTTAACTGCTGAGAAGCCCCGGCTGGAATCTATAGTCCGAGGTCCTGGTGCTCTTTATTGCCCTCCTTGGAAACAGGGTGGATCACGACTGGAGCCCTCGGTACCATCTTGTTGCGGCACTTCTCGAGCCCGATCGGCTCGTGAGGGCACCGCGGGAGACCGAGGCTTGGCGGCAGCGCCCGGTGCAAAAAGTCGTGCGACGCCCGGAAGGAGGAGGAGGAGGAGGAGGAGGAGGAGGAGGAGGAGGAGGGAGGAGGAGGGAGGAGGAGGGAGGAGGAGGGAGGAGGAGGAGGGAGGAGGAGGAGGAGGAGGAGGAGGGAGGAGGAGGGAGAGGAGGAGGAGGAGGAGGAGGAGGAGGAGGAGGTCCAGTGTAAACCCAAGGGTCACCAACGATGTTGGAATAAGCCCTCCCCCCAAGCTCCCTCTTCATATGCCCCTACAACGGTTCATTTCCACAGAGGGACCTGCCTCGAAGGCAACCGTTGGAAGGCCCTGAAGCATGCCAAACATTGTTCTCGGGATGCCAACGCCACGGATAAGCCTAACTGTTGCGTTTTGACGATCCTGAAGCGTACCAGACCGCCATTCCTGAGACTTGAACAGTTCGAATCATCGGAATTGTCGCGCCCTCCTAATCGGGAATCCTTCCAAACCACAATTTCTGGTACCCTGATGATCGTGGGAACCCGTGGAGCCTATGCAGCTTTCAGCAAGAATGTGTGCGGCGCTCGGGCGAGAACCACATGTTGAAAAGGAACCGCCCTCAATCCGTGAAATTCCTGCAACTTTTTAATCAGAACGCGAGCGGCGCTAAGGCGAGAGTCAAATGTTTAGAACCACCCGCCCTCAATCCGGGATGCCCTTACAACTTTTTCGCACGAGTGCGCGCGGCGCTAAAGCGAGAGTCACAGTTGAAATGGAGCCGCCCTCAATCCGTGGAGCTCGTGCACATGTTGAAAACGAATGTGCGCAGCGCTAGGGCGAAAGCCACATGTTTTAAACCTCCCGCCCTCAATCTGTGAAACTGTTACAAATTTCGAAAACGAATGCGCGCGGCGCAAAGGCGATAGCCACATTTTGAAAACCACCCGCCCTCAATCCGTGAACTGCCTGCATAGTTTGAAAGCGAATGTGCGCGTCGCTAAGGCGAGAACCACATGTTTTAAACCACCCGCCCTCCATCTGTGAAGCTGTTGTCATGTTCAAAGCTTCAGGGTCATAAGTGGTGAGGAAGTCTCAGGCGAAACGCCCAGCACGCCCTGAAAACTAGCCTCGGGGTGCGACAGGGAGAAGTTATTTGTAAGGCGCAGGCACGGAGGAGAGGTAGGAGGAGGAGGAGGAGGAGGAGGAGGAGGAGGAGGACAGAGGAGGAGGACAGAGGAGGAGGACAGAGGAGGAGGACAGAGGAGGAGGAGGAGGAGGAGGAGGAGGAAGAGGACGAGGAGGAGGACGAGGAGGAGGGAGAGGAGGAGGAGGAAGAGGAGGAGAAGGAGGGCCCCCCCTGTGCGAGGACGGCCACGGAGGGCTCTGCCGCCCCCAGCGTCGCGTCCATCCTCCCCGGGAGCTACGCTGGCAGCCGGGGGACGCTGGCGTACTACGCCGGGCGCCTCGTGCGCATGCCCGCCGGCGGGGCGGCGGAGCAGGCCCGGCGCCCCGCCCTGGCGATTCTCCTCCGCCTCCTCCTCCTCCGCCTCCTCCTCCTCCGCCTCCGCCTCCCTCCTCCTCCCTTCCGCCTCCGCCTCCTCCCTCCGCTCCGCCCTCCTCCTCCTCCTCCTCCTCCGCCTCCGCCTCCTCCTCCTCCTCCTCCTCCTCCTCCTCCTCCTCCTCCGCCTCCGCCTCCTCCGCCTCCTCCTCGTGGGGAGGGGGGGGGGCGTCGACGCGGGCACGGAGAGAGCGGGGACGAAGGCTGACAGAGCTCTGTAGGCCTCCCAGGTGGGGTCCGAGCAGGTGGGGTCGGAGGATCGCGCCGCATCGCCGATGCATCGCCATGCGGCTAGATTTGAGTCGTGCCTGTCCCTCTACAGGAGGGATATTCAAAAATAGTCCAGAAATAGTCTGGGGTCTATTTTTCATTATTTTTTGACCATTTTGGAGTATTTGTTTTACTATATTTGAGTATTCTTCGAACATCGGCCTGCCTGTAGGGGGACAGGCCCGACAATAAGGCTAGATGTGGAGCCCTGTGTTCCCCACGCCGATGGCGCCGATGCCTCGCCGACGTCGCCGATGCATCGCCGATGCGGCGCGATCCTCCGACCCCATCTACTCCGACCCCATCCAGGAGGCCTCTACTTGAACAGAGCTCGCTGTCGGTGCCGCCGCTGACGTCATCCACTTGAGATAGCAAGTCGCCTGCCCAACAGCTGCCGCTGTCGGTTCGGGAGAACGCGTGCTATTGGGCGTCGTACCGTTGCAGGCGTGCCAATCCCCGTCTTCGGCATCCTGGGTTTGTCTTCCCGCGGCGAGGCAAGCAACAGTGGATCCGGGGTACAAGCGGACCCGCGGGCAGGAGTCAGTCTTGGCGTGTTTTCCAGATTTCGGCGGCACTCCTCAGGCCCTGGGGCACTACCCCCAGGGGGAGGAGGGGGTCGGGACCTTCTGCGACCCGCGGACCAAGAAGCCGGGATCTTCTGCCCTCTGTCTGGGGCTCTGCGGGGCTCCCTCGCAGCCAAGGTTAGATGCCCCTCCGAAGCCTCCTGGTCGGAGCGCACCCTGGGACAGGTCCTGGGCCGATCCCAGTACGCTTCCTCTCGAAGAGACGACATTACAGGGGAGGCCCATGCCAAGAAGCACCCCGCCGGCCTCCCGGTGGCCCTGGGTGTCTCTTGGGCTTCGCTGGCTTTTTGCCATGGGAGGCGTGACGTTCCCACGCCGAAGATCAGTGGAGGTCCTGGGGTCTCAGGGTTGGGCTTCTTGTGGAAGGTCTCTCGTGGTCGGGCCCCGCCCGTCCATCTTCGGAGCTCCGCTCCGCGAATTTTGCTGGGAATCGGCGCTGGGGGCCCCCCTGGCGGCGCCCGCCTCGGGGGTCGCTCCCTTCGCGCGCTCCCTGGCGCGCCGGGGAGCGGGGCCCCCGGCGCGGGGCCAAGACACGGGGCTGGACCCAAGCGCTGTTTTGCTGGACTTCGGCCGTGTTTTGTTTCTCGTCGTGGCAGGGAGGGACAGGACAACAGGTGGAGCAAAGCGAAGACAAAAAATGAAGAAACACGTGCAGGTCCAGCCCTGCCAAGACATCCGCGCGGACCTCTGAGAAGTCATGTGTATGCCGTTCTCGGGTCTTCGAGCAGCTTCCAGCACAAGTTGAGCTTCTCGGAGGCCCGCGCGGATGTCTTTCAGGAGGGAAAAACACACAGACACAATGAATCGTCGATTCCCCAGAAAACATAGGAAAATGTGGGAAGTGGGGGGGGAAGACAAAAACCCAGAACATGTGGGAAAACATGAGGAATCTTTTGGTTTGTGTGTATTTATTTGTGTGTCCCAGGGCCCCTTCAGTCTTGGCTCGGCGCTGGGGGGCCCATCTCCACGGCGCGCGGGAGCGCGCTTCTGGGATTGCGCCCGCGGCGCTGCCGGGAGGGTGCGGCGCCGGTCCGAGCATTCCGCGCGGAGCTCCGAGAGTCTACGTCTATGCCGTTGTCTTGGCATCGCTCGGACGTGTGCATTGTTTCTCGGCGAGAACCATCGAGGACCATCCTGGACCATCGAGCGAGCAAAAACACGCACGAAACCGAAACACGCACAGGAAATGGACGTCCCAGCGACGGCAAGTGTCTGTTTCCTCGATGTAGTCGCTTCTTCCTGTCTCTGACGAAGGGTTGCACTGCTCCTCCTGACGTGCTCCTGCGGGGGCATCTTCTCCGCCGGCGATGTTCTCGACTCCTGGTGGCTGCAGCTGGCACGTCCAGCACCAGAGCTGCCTTGCTTCAGGAGGGGAATAACCTAACACAGACACCACGAATCGACGATCTCCAGGGAAGTGTGGGAAACTATGGACAGGGGGAGGGGGGGGGGGAAGACGAGCACCCCGAAACTATGAGAGAAAAGACGTGGGGGGTCCTCCTCCTCCTCCTCCTCCTCCTCCTCCTCCTCCTCCTCCTCCTCCTCCTCCTCCTCCTCGTGTGTGTATTTATCTCTGTGTGCCCCTGGGCTGCTCCGTGGCTCTCGCCCCGCGCCACCCTCGGCACGGGAGCACGGCAGCACGCGCAGCCCGAGGCCCCTGGCGCGGGGCCGCGGACGCTCCCCGGGAGGGGGCGGGCAGCCTGCCTGCCTGCCTCTGCGGCGCTCGCCGACGGCCGGCGGCGGCGGCCCGGCATCGGTCGATTCGACTACACGTAAGAGTGACCCTTCGCCGGAGTGACCTTTAGTGCGGGTTCACTGGGATCCCCCCGATCGCCGAGCGCGATGCGATATAAGCGGCCCGCGCCATTGGGTTTGGCCCCCTCGCGCCCCCAAAAGCTGCGCACCAAGGGTCACTCTTACCCAGGGTCACTCTGACGTCTAGCCGATTGATGCTGAAGGACCTGGCGATTGTCAGGAGGGGAAGAAACACACAGACACAATGAATCGTTGATTTTTCCCGAAATGTGGGAAAATATGGGAAGTGGGGGGGGGGACAAGAACCCAGAACATACGGGAAGATATGGGGAATCCTGCTATTTGTGTGTATTTATTTGTGTGTCCCAGGGCCCCTTCAGTTTGGGAAACGGCCGGTCTTTCCTCAAACAGTGGCGAAGCGTCCTGGCTCGCCTTTAGGTCTACCAAACGATGTTCTGAGAACTTCTTGTGGGTTCCACGAAATGTTCTCAGAACATAACTGGCTGGGACTGTCTTGCTTGAACACGCCGGGCTTATGTTCTGAGAGCCTTGTTTTTGTGCACAGAACGCTTTGGGGTTCTAAGCACATTTTGTGGTAGGACTATAGGAATGCCGGGACGGTCGGCCCCTGCTCCAGTTCCAGGCTGAACGATCCGCGCGATGTCAGGAGCACCACACGCACCTCGACGAAGAACAAACACGCATAACCATACAAATTTGTGGCGCTCCGCGCTGGGCCCCCCCCTCCCCCCCCCGGCGGCGCCTCCGGCGCCGCCCCCGGCGCGCTCCGCGCGCCAGGGAGGGGGGCCCAGCGCAGATCCAAGAAATGCGCGCGGGCCGCCAAGAGTTTACGTATGCTTATGCCGTTTCTGGGCTTTTTTTTTTCCAGAGCCAGCGCCGAGGGCGACACCACACGAGCCTGTCGTACTCGCCTCCTCTCATGCCTTCCCCCTCTGATGAGCGTCGAGGAACAGGAGCACGAAAATGCCGTGGCCGCACGTGGCGTCGCAACAAGACCGCCTCCTGCTGCATGCCAGGCTGCGGCTGACATGTTGCGCTGCATTGCCTGAGGGTTGCGCTGAGCTGCGCGATATCGATGACGTTGATGTTGAGGTTGCTGCCTCCACCCTTCCCAGCCTTAAGTCGGGCCTGTCCCGCTACAGGAGGAATATTCAGAAATAGTCAAACAATAGTCAGGGGACAATTTTGTGACTATTTCTGGGCACGTTTGGAGTATTTTTGGGGTATTTTTGATGTCCCGTCCAAAATCCCTGGGGGACAGGCCCGACCCAATCCCAGCCCCCGTGGGCGAAAAACAGACCCGCGTCCGCGGCACCGCGGGCCGGGCTCTCGGGCCGCGGCCCCGCGGATGCAGGGCTCTTTGCTCGTGGCTGCCCCGGACGGAACCGACCCGTGCGACCTCGGGAGCTTTGGGACGGGGGTCGATGCAAACGGGGGTCAGCCAGAGCGCCGGATCTTGCAGGATCCTGCAGGGCCAGGCTCCCATTGACCCGGGTTTGGGTGCAGGATCCTGCAGGATCTTGCAGGATCCTTCGCATTGACCCGGGTTTGGGTGCAGGATTTTGCAGGATCTTGCAGGATTTTGCAAGGCCTGACTGACCCGGGTCTGGATTGACCCGGGTCAGAAGCTCCCCGACGACCGCGTGCTCGCGGGATCGCGCGCCGGAATGCAGCCTGCGAGGGCGCGGATACAGATATGTTCGCCGTTTGTGAAGCTCTGCCCAAGCATTCCTCTTCTCCTTCCCCCTCCGCATCCCCTGGGGAAGCCAGAAGGCACCGACGCCGCCGCTCCCCAGACCTCACCCGGGGTCACCTCCGGCCAGGACTTCGAGGCGAATCCAGCCATGGCGACGAGGACCTCCCAGGAGACCCAAGAAGGGAAGACGAGGGAAGGGCAGCAGCATCTCTAGGCCTCCTAGGTGGGGTCGGAGTAGATGAGGTCGGTGGATCGCGCCGCATCGCCGATGCATCGGCAATGCGGCTCGATGTGGAGCCCGATTTTGTCCACGCCGACGTCGCAGTTGCATCGCCCACGTCGACGATGCATCGCCCGTGCATCGCCGATGCATCGCCGATGTATTGCCGATGCGGCGCGATCCTCCGACCCCATCCATTCGGACCCCATCTAGGAGGCCTCCAGCATCGGTGCTGCTTCCCCCTCCGCCTCTCCCTCGAAGCCAGAGGTCCCCGAGGAAGAGGATTCCGTCGACGGCTTCGGCTCCGACTCAGACTTCGACCCCGAGGAGTACGCCGACCTGGCGAGGGAAGACGAGCCCGGCGCTCGGCTGTGGGCGGGCGGGCGGGCGGGCGCAGGATAGTTTCGGTTCGCGTCGTTCGAGGTGAATTTCGTGCGGATTTATTGTTGGCCAGGAATGAACACCAAAAAGAATCCACGCGAAATTCACTTCGTTTTTCGCTCGCCGTTTTTGGCCAAAATCCACAGAAATCCGCTGCAGCACGTCTGCAAGGCCGGTGCAATGAGATATCGACAAGGGAGGTGTCCTGACTAGGGCCACCGCGAGGGTTTTGGAGTAAGTCGCGCTTCGCGGTCTGGCGATTGCAGTATTTGTATATCCAGCTGGCCTCCTAGTGAGTCAGAAGCTGTCCTGCGAGCGTGTCCAAAATTCGGGCCACTGGCTCGGGCACGGGGGAAGGTGCGAATCGCCCAGCTTCGCAGACGCCATGCGCCGGGGATGTCGGAAGCCTTGCCCAAGCGCGCCTGCCCGCCATACGCCCCCCAAGGTGGACGAGGCCCGAGTCCCTCATGCTGTTCTGGGGGAGCGCGGCGCGAAAGCGCGAAGGTGAGCGCGCTTCGCGGAGCGCGAAGCACGAAGGTAGCTGCCTAAAGTTCTGACGGCGTCACTGCCGCCGGGCTCGGAGAACGGCGTCACTGCCGCCGGGCACAGATGGCAGGGGCCCTGCTTTTCGTTCCTCTCCCCTGTCGCCTCGTCGTTCGCTCCCCCCTCTGTGCTCGTTTCCTCGTCGTCGTCGTCCTCCTCCTCCTCCTCCGAACCTTGTGAGCCCGTGCGGGTTATCCCTTTCGCGCTAGTCCCCTGCGCCCTCCAGTTTCAACCCTGGCTGCACTAGCGCTTGACTTCCTCGAATGGGATGGATGTTCTGACCAGTCTGGATGTTTTATTGGCCCTCTCTTGACCTCCGGGGGCCTTTGGCCATCTTGGGGGGGGGGGGCTTGTGGGGGCAGCCATGGGACGCCCTGCACCTCCGCCTCTGGGAGCGCATCGTGCGTGGATGTCCGTCGAAGCGCAAAGGTGCGCCCCAACAGGGTGGCCACAAGGGCGCCAAGGTGATCGCCCTTCGCGCCTCGCGGCCCGAGCCGCACAGGTGCCCTCGTCTGGTGCGGCGGCGCCAGGGCTGCGAAGGCAACTGCGCGTCGCACATCGCAGGGCGCGAAGCGCGACGCCGGGTGGCTTTGTTCCAAAGCGTGAGCGCGTGTCGGCCTCGACGCGCCGGGCGGGCTCGGCCACTGCTCCGCAAGAGGCGGGCGTCCCGCCGCGGTACCAGCGACACGAGCAGGGGCCCGACGCACACCAGCTGCTGCGAGCGCCGCCCCAGACGTGTTGGAGTGGCCACAGATCTTCCGATGAGATGCCCAGTCGAGCCGTGCATCACTGCCCGTGGACAACTGCTTCATCGGGCCAGCGAAGATCTGATCACTGCCTTCACCCTCCGCCTCTTCTCCCTCAAGGGAGGCCAAAACCACCCCGACGCACACACACACACACACACACACACACACACACACACACACGCACGCACGCACGCACGCACGCACGCACGCACGCACGCACGCACGCACGCACGCACGCACGCACGCACGCACGCACACACACACACACACACACACACACACACACTGCGTTTTCTAAACAGCTCTGGGCGTTTACTAAGCAGCCTTGCTTGTTCGACTCCTCCAAAGAGCTTCGCCTTTTGGGGTGATTCTTATGAGGATGGTTCTCCTGCCTTCCTGTTTCTCCCTCCTCCTTCGACGCCTCGCTGGCCCTGCTGTGCACGGTCAAACCGAGGAATCAGATAGAGGTCGGTTGGGGGAGGGTACCTTGATGCTCTTCGTGCTTGTTGAGGGCTCTTTGTGCCTCTGGGCGGAGGGTGCCCTCGAGTGTTTTTCAGCCTGGCCGGCGGAAGGTCTCGCGTTCTTGAAGGATGTCCCTCTGCCCTGGCCCAGGCTGCATCTGACAGGTATCCTCGCCTGCTGAGCGTGACCCGCTGATCGGGCCGGGCGAAAGGGGGGGATTGGGAAAGGGGGGGGTACGTACGAAATTTGCTGCATGCAGCTGGTTTCGGCCCCACCGAGGGGCCCATTCCTCGACACGTAGCCGCCTCCGGCGCCGGGAGGCGCCGGGGAAGATCAGCTGCGTGAGCTGAGTCTCAAACCCCCCCTTTTGCTGTCCCCCTCTTTTTCGCCCGACCCGAGCTGAGAGGCACCCGCCACGCGCGGGACGGACGGCTGCCCCCACGGCATCGGAGACGGCTGCGCCCTGGGCTGAAGGCCACGGCCAGCAGCCTCTCTGCTTGGCATCGCTCGGACGTGTGCATTTTTCCTTCGGCGAGGACCATCGAGGAGCATCCTCGATCATTTGGCGAAAAAACCACGCACGAAGCCGAGAAAAGCACAGGGAATGGACGTCCGAGCACGGCTGCGCCCGGGCTGAAGGCCACGGTCAGCAGCCTCTCTTCTGTGGCAACGTCCACACATCGAGTAGGGGATCGACAACAGAGTCGATGTGCCCCAGAGCAGGGCTCGTCTCGATTCCTCCGATGCGATTCGATTCGACTTCGACGGATTCCGATTCCGATTCGATCCGAATTTGGACTCCGATTTGGGTTCCGATTTCTTACTGGAGGCATACTAGCCCGCCGATGTCCGCCGATGCGGCTTTTCCCGACTCGGCTGCCGATTTCCGCCGATCCGATTCAGTTCGACTGCCGATCCGACTTACCGATTCGATTCTGGGCTCTCCTGCCAGAGTTCATTGTTCCGTCGAATCAATGCAAGTGCGCAGGGTGCCCCGTAGATCTACGGAGCGCTCGACGCACTTCCTGTATATTTCGACGCGGAGACCATGTCGAGGTGAATCAATTCTGTATTCGACCCCCCACTCGCACACAGACCACGAAGACCTCCATGGCTTGAGTGCACCACTCTCCTCCCCCCTCCTCCTCCTCCTCCTCCTCCTCCTCCTCCGCGGCCGCCCTCTTCTGTGTCTCCCGCGCGCCTGCGCACGACTCTCGCCAAGCCGCGCGGTGCGCGCTCGCCACCGCTGCGGCAACAGACGTGATCTAACGTTTTTTGTGGGCAGGAGCCGTCGGGAGTGTAGGTGCATGATGTTCCAACCTACTTTAGCCTCGACCGCCAGAAAGAATTTCGAGCACCAGAAAAGCACCCGCAAACTCGAGGGTTTTCACGTGTCGGGCCCTGGGAGACTCGTCCGACACTGTTTCGACACTCTTTCGACACTTTTCCTGGTGCTCGAAGTTATTTCTGGGATGTGGTCCTTAAGTGCGATGGGGGCAACAGAAGTATAGGTGAAGAACAGCGTCGCTCGCGTCGGGTGCTCTGCATCTTCAGCGGCCCGGCGGCTGCCGCGAGAGCACCACCCGAGGTCCGATCGGCCGGCGCTGTGGAGGCGCTCCTCCGTGGACGAGGGTACCGAGCAGGCGCTCCGGACCCCAAGCCGCGCTGCATGCGAATCTGGGGCCCTGGGAAGCACCTGCTCGCCGCGGGTCGGCAGCGAAGTACAAACCATACCCTCGCCGATCAACGGCTATGGCAACTCGGAGTTCGTCGAACATGTGGCGAACTCCGAAGCCGACCCCCGCCTCCCATCGATTCAGGAGAATCGATGGTTGGTGTGAGGTAGGGTTCGGGTGTAGCCACCTAGCGAAGCAAACGGGTGCCGAGGGCAACGGGTCCAGGGTTGCTTTAGTTTCTCTCTGCCAGCTTGAGGCATACCCCTATCCTTCCGATTGCCATCACACTACCTCGATGCAGATTCTGAGAACGCATCCGTTAGATTGTCGTTGCCGTTTGGCTTGTCAATCTTCAGGATCAGGAATCAGGATGCGTGCGAGGCAAGTGAGTTCTTGGTTCTTGGGCTCCTGAACCTTTCCCCGATTCCCGGGAGGCCGTCAAGCAAACGGCACGGGACTACCAAAAGCTGGCCTGGGGGGAAAGGCCGCGGGGCCTGGCGTCCCGAAATGTGGGTCATCCCTGGCGTGGGTCGTCCGTTTTCTGGTTGCGACCTTGTGTTCTGACACCTTCACGTCCAGCGGGGGGGGGAAGGGCAGGCGATTCATCTACGTATCAGGTGATTGCTGCAGAGCCGCCACCGTGCCAGCGAAGCGCGCACGCGTTTGCCGACCCTTCGAGCACCGCGCGTGAGCCCGCGGCATGCCACGTCTCGCGTGCCGATTCCTTTGCGAAGCCGTTTTGTGCCCCTCTTGTCCGTTTGGGTCTCTTGGGGCCGTCTTGAGTCCTTCCAGGGAGCATCTTCGGCCAGATTGGGGCGACCTTGGGGTGGGCGGTCCTGGGCCGCCCAGGATCCCTCTTGGGGCTCTAAGTGGGCCCTCGTTGGGGCCTTGGAAGGAAGCGTGTGTGCCGATCGCTTGGCCTCATGAAGGCCTCGTGGAGGCCTCTTGGTATACCTATTGGGCGCCTGTTAGGCTCTGTTGGTCGCGTCTCGAGGCGACCTTCGGCCATCTTTGCGACAACAGCGGTGGCCTGTCGGGGCAGTCTTGGAAGTCACCTTGGGCAGCTTGGACGCCTCCGAGAGCGAGCGCCAGGGAGGTATCTGGGCGCCCAGGAAGTCTCTGGTGATGGGGGGGCGATGCGTGCAACGGTTTGTGCCGAGGGGGGGGAGCTTTTATAGGGAAACAAACCATGACATAAACACAACAACTCGGACCAGGGACGGCGCTCCAGCGCCGATCCGAGAAATCCCCGCGGAACTCCGAGTTGTTATGTTTATGCCATTCTTCGCTCCCCTATTCTAATACTAATAGGCTCCTTACCAGGCAGCGCTTGGAATTCTGCCACGCCTCGACGCACCAGCGGGCACGGTGGCGCGGAGTCCAGGTGCTACGCAAGGGGTGAGTTGGCTCCAAGGTGTTGCTCGGCAGCAGTCCTTCGTCCAGGGGGCGCGCTGGCGCGGAGTCCCGGTGCTCCGCAGGGGGCGAGGCGGCTCCAGCATGTTGTTTGGCAGCAGTGGAGTGCTCCGTTCTTGGGCTCGCGCGATGATCACTGCAAGAATGTCCTGGAGTGTTCTGTGCATCCCACTGTGGCCTCGTTTGTGGTTTCTGGGCGGGTGGAGTTGGAAGTCGACACGTCTAGATGCGGAATGCGATCCGTTGTTGGAGCGACGCAGCATGGTCTCGAGGCTTTTGCCGATTGCAACTTGATCATGTTGCCTCAACTGCCCGACTTCGACCCTTTGCCCGCTACGCCCTTCCCGCTTCAACATGATGTACTTATGTTTGTGTCCGTGCTTCCACCATCTTCTGATTTCCACCTTTAGCCGTATCCCCTCGAGGATCTGAATTTCAAGTGATGCCCCCTTTCGCTCGCTCTCTCTCTCTGCTCTCTCTCTCTCGCTCTCTCATGTTCGGATTCGCGTCGTTCCCAAGGCGGCTCTTTCCCCATTCGGCCCAGTCGCTCCGCAGTATTCGTAGGCGTCGTCCTCCCCATCCTTCTCCTGTGTCCTCTCCAAAATGTCCACGTATCGCTCTTTGTATCCGTCTCTCTCTCTCTCTCTCTGTTTCTACATCTTATTGTCAGTATCTCTCTTTACCTCTCTCTCGTTCTCTCTCTCTCTCTCTTTTTGCTATGTATCCATGCCTCACCCTTCTGTTCCGATGCGCCCCTTTCGTCCACCTTGCTCGCCACCCTATCCCGACATTACCTCTCTCCACCCTGCCCCGCCGCCCCCTCTCAACATCGCCCCCGGACCTGTTCTGGAGCGCGCGCTGTCTGACCACGCCTTCCAAGCGGGCCCACGCCCCCGCCGCTGCCGCCGCCGCTGCCGCAGCGGTCGCCGATGTCGCCACCGCCGTCGCCACCGCCGTCGTCGATGCCGCCGCCGCCATCATCGTCGTCGTCGTCGTCGCCGTCGCCGTCGGCGTCGGCTTCGTCGTCAGCCGCGTCGTCGCCAAGGTCCGCTCGGAGCCGGTCCCCCGAACCCTTCGAGCGCCGCGCCGGCCGCGCCCAGCCGCGGCGACGGGATCTCCGCGGGGGCGATCCAAAGTTTAGTCGGGCAGGTCCCTCTGCAGTTGGAGTGTCCAACGATAGTACAAGAATAGTCAGGGGACGATTGTTCAACTGTTGTTGACTACGTTTGATGATGTTGCGGCTGTTGTTCCTTTTTCGACCCCGACCCGCCCGTAGGAGGACATGCCCGACCTAGACCCACTCGGAAATGAAGGCGCCGCTGTTTAAGCTTGCAGACCCGTCAGGCGGTGCGTCCTGACCAGCATCTCGAGGCGAATCCGGGCGTGGCGACGCCAGCTCCCCAGCAGGCCCAACATTGGAGGACTTCATGAGCATCGTCATCGTCACCGTCGCCGCTGTCCCCGTTGTCGTCAGGTGTCGTCGTCGACGCCCCTGTTGCCGATTGTTGTCGACGTCGTCGTCCGTGGTCCTCCTCCTCCTCCTCCTCCTCCTCCTCCTCCTCCTCCTCCTCCTCATCCCTCCTCCTCCTCCTTATCCTCTCCTCCTCCTCCTCATCCCTCCTCTCCTCCTCCTCCTCCTCCTCTCTCCTCCTCCTCCTCTCTCCCCCTCTTCCTCCTCTCTCCTCCTCCTCTCTCCTCCTCCTCCTCCTCCTCCTCCTCCTCCTCCTGTGCTCAGCAGCCGAAATACGATTTGTGTCGACGTCGACGTCGTCGCCCGCGGTCCGCCGAGCCCTCGGCCTCGTCTCCCCGCGGCCGCCCCGGCGCGAGGCGGCAGCTCGGGAGCCCGCGGCGCCGCAGGAGCCGCAGGCGCCGTCGGTGTCGCCGTTCGGGGCGTTCTCTGTGGCCGTGTTCCCCCCGGGGGGGGGGGGCCCAAGCTGCTGGTCAGAGGCGGGCAGCTGGGATGACCAGGGGGGGGGTTCTGAGTGGAGAGGGGGGTTGCAAGTGGATGCCGAGGTGGGTCATCTCGATCCTCAGACCCCTTCTACTTCGACCCCATCCACCTCCCCCCCCCCTCTCTCCCTCCCCATTCCTCTTCCTCCTCCGCCCTGTCCGCCCCTCCCCCTTCGTCAGGGGGGCACGGCGGATCCTTTCATTCAGCTGTCTGTGGGGGGGGGGAGGAAAAACAACAAAATCTGGCCCAACCTGGCTTATGAGTGGGTTACACATGCCCCGAGTGGCTTAGGGGGGTTAACGATCCGGGCGATCCAACTCCCCGATGCCACTCGGGGCACTTGCAACCCCGTTCTAAGCCAGGTTGGGCCAGGTATAACCCACCTTGGCATCCACTTGTAAACCCCCCTATCTACTTAAGTAGAGCCCCCCAGGTACTTGGCGCATTTGTAGTCCACTTCTAGGCCAGGTTGGGCCAGATATAACTCACCTTGGCATCCATTTGTAACCCCCCTGTGAACTTAGAACCCCCCCCGTCATCCCAGGAAGCTGTTGGCCAGAGGCGTGCGAGGTACCGATGCCGTTGCTCGTCCTGGAGGGCCCAGGTCGCCACGGCTGGAGTCGCGGCGGAGAGCGCGGGGGGGGAAGCGAGACGGAGAAGACACTCTCAGCAGGCGGCGGGACTCCTCAGAAGCCCCTCGCGCCTTCCGAAAAGTGTTCTGTGCCTTCGGGGAGGGCTCGGAAGACTGCTCGGAAGGCTGGGGGACTTGCGAACCTTCTGAGAAGGCCCGCCGTTTCTCGCTTCCCCCCCGGGCAAGCGCCCCCCGCCCGCTTCTGGAAAAAAAACACATCTTTGTGTATATCTATACACATATCTAAATACATACAACTACAGATAGACACATCAAAATGACACATACACTAAAGGAGAACAAGATGTGCGCACTCGTGCTTTCCTTTGCAGGTGCGATCCCAGACCCACCAGGGCAGCGACACGAATCACGACGTTTTTTTTTTTTGTTTTTTTTTTTTCTGTTTTCGGCGTCGGGCCCAGGGGCCGTCAACAGGCGGCCCAGGATGACGAAGCGGCCCTGGGCAATGGGTCGAGACCTCCGGGGGCCGACGCCACGGACAAAAGCACGACGTCGGGTGTCTGGGACAGGGGGGGGCGCTCCGCGGCAGGGAGGCCGGAGAGGAGCAGAGCGGTGAGGCACCGGGGCGCAGGAGTTGCCGCGGCCGCGCACGGCCACCGCTCGCCATGCGGGGCCCGGGGGCACAGAGGTTGCCGCGGACGGGTGCCCTGTTTGCCCCGTCGTCGTCGCCTCCCTCCTGTCGTCCTTCCCTCCTTGCCAGGCGTTCTGCCTGAGATCTCTTCTTTGTCACGTGCGATGCTGGAATTTTCGAAGTGAGAACGGCTTCGCGGATGGAGGGCTGGCCGCTTTCCAAAAAAGTGACTCTCGCTCCAGCGCAGCGACGTTCGCTCGTAGCACAAGCGCAAATAAACTGCACGGAGTGAGGGCGGTCCGTGGCTGCTGGTGCCGTTGCGCTTCGCACGCTCGCCGGGAACAAAGTGGCAAGGGTTTTATGGAACGAGTGACGAACGAACAACACGCACCCATACCCATAGGGGGTCGTTGGGAGGAGGACTGGCTATGGGTATCGGTGCAGGTTGTCGGACCCTGGGGAACGCTCCCGTTCGAGCGGGGACCCCCATCCGACAACACGTACCCATGCCCTCTCCGATCCCCCTATGGGTATGGGTGTGTGTTGTTGGTTCGTCAATGAGGGCGGGCTGTTTTCAAAATGTGGTTTTCGCCGTAGCGCCGCGCACGCTCGCTTCAAGTCATTGCAGAAGTTTCGTGTTTTGAGGGCTGTTGTTTCTCAAACAGTTGCAAAGGCAGTTGCGCACACACTCTTTTCAAACAGTTGCAAAGGCTTTGCAGGTTCTCGTGGTTAGCGTATCAGGAGTAGCGTTTTGGAAGGACTCTGGATTGAAAGGGCGCAGCAGTTACGTTGATTCGTTGTGAAGAAGTCCCAGGAACGGCGTTTGGCACGATTCAGGATGGTCAAGACGCAGCAGTCAGGTTGATTCGTGGCGATGAAGTTCTGAACGATTGGTGTTTTGACACTCGTCCAGATTTTCACGCAGTTGTCCCCCAACGGGGCTGTACCCTCAGTGGGAATGAACTTCCATAGGGTGCTACGAAGAGGGGGATTAGAAGGAGGGTATTTTTTCAACATCGTTTATGAATATTGGGTGTATGGTTTTGCTGCTCCGCTTCCTCCGTCTTGGTCTCCTCCTCCTCCTCTTCCTCCGCCTCCTCCTCCTGCTCCTCATGCTCCTCCTCCTCCTCCTCCTCCTCCTCCTCCTTCTCATCCTAATCCTCCTCCTTCTCCCCATCCCCCCGCGCACGCGATCCCGCGCGCGCGTGAGCGGAGGTAGAAACAGTAGGAGAAGGAGGAGGAGGATGAAAAGGAAGAGTAGGAGGGGAAGGGGGAAGAAGAGGAGGAGGAGGACGAGGAAGAAGAAGAGGAGGAGGATGATGGCGCGGACGAGGAGGAGGTGTAGGAGGAGGAGGAGGAAAAGGAGGTGCAAGAGGAGGACGAGGAGCAGAAGGGGCAACAGGAACAGGAGGAGGACGAGGACGAGGACTACGAGGACGAGGACGGATGAGCAAGGATGGGGAAGGACGAGGAAGGAGGAGGACGCAGGCAGGAGGAAGGAGGAAGGAGGAAGGAGGAATATGAGGAGGAGGAGAAGGAGGAGGAGTAGGAGGAGGAGGAGGAGGAGGAAGAGGAGCAGCTGGAAAAAGAGGAGGGGGAAACCGGAACATAAGTAATGACGGAGGAGGAGGACGAAGAGAAGGATGAGGAAGAGGAGGAACGAGGAACATTAGTTATGACGGAGGAGGAGAAGGAAGAGGAGGAGTAGGAGAAAAAAGGTGGTGGACAGAGGAGGAAGGAGGACAGAAGAGGATGGAGTGAGCCGCGAGAAGAAGCAGGGGCCGCCCCCCTTCCACCCCCCTCCCTCCCCTCACCAACCACTTCACCGCCCAGATCCCCGCTGGCGGAGCGGGCGGGCAGGTTCCGACCGAACGCGGCCGTGAGCGTGGTGCCGAGGCCCGTCCCTCCCTCGCGCGAGAGCGTCCTGGCGGCCCAGGACGGCCGCCGCCTAGGATCGTCGTCGTCGTCGTCCTCATCGCTCCTCCTCCTCCTCTTCCTCCTCCTCCTCCTCCTCCTCCTCCTCCTTCTCCCCCTGCTCTTCCTCCTCCTCCTCCTCCGCCTCCTCCTCTTCCCCCTCCTCCTCCTCCTCCTCCTCCTCCTCCTCCTCCTCGCGTTCTGTGGCCATTTTGGCTCCAGGTGTTTTTTTTTCCATTGTGGAACAGGTGGATACCGCTATTCCGCGGCAAGTTTTCGAGTGGCCCGCGGGTCGACGCGCATCATGTCTAAGCATCGTGGTGTCGGCGGCATCGGTGGCGACTGGTGCGACGCAGGCTGGCAGCTGGCATTGCCCTTCATGCAGCTGTAGGAACTTCGCATGGCGGGCGCAGGGCAGACTGGCGAACTGCGGTGCCTACCGTCCTGCTACGCATGGTTTTGGTACTCTACCTTTCGCACGCGTTGGCAAGGTGGACCACCGGACACGCCGCGTTGGATTCGGGCGACTACTTGGACGGCACCGCGCGGCAGCGCGTCCGTCACGCAGATCCTTGGCCTCGGAACGCCAGGAATGGCGCCGGGCGCCCCCGCGGCGGGCGAGGCGGCCGCGGGCGCTGCGGCCCCCCCTCTGCGAGCTCGGGGGAGGGCGGCCCGGCGGACGCGGGGTGGCGCGCCGACCCTTCGGCGGCGCAGGCGGCCGCGGGCCAGCTGGGCGGTGCGCCCACGGCGACCGCGGGGGGCCCTGCGTCGCACAGGGAGGGACTCGCGTCAATAAACGTGGATCTTGCGTGCAACCTCTCCGCCGCTGGGCGGCGTCCCTGCATCGCACAGGGACTCGCGTCAAAAAACGTGGTTCTTCAAATCGCGTCGTCACGCGCGCGGGCCGCATCGCCGTTGCAGCCGCTTCTCAGGTGTCTTTGCGCGGCCGCGTCGTCGTCGTTTTGAAAACAATATCAACGTCGTCGTCATCGGTGTCGTCCTCGTCGTCGTTTTGCGAGTCGCGCGTGGTGGACGTCAGTCTCAAGGTGGCGGTGACAGCCCACAGGGTTGTGGCGGCAGGAGCGGACGATAGCAAGTCAAGCAGGTCTTCACCGATGCCGAGCGGTAGTGCTACATGCAGCTGGACGACCAGTCGATCGACATCGTGGCGAAGAGGCTGGCTGGCGCCGAGCGTCAACAGCTCAAGCGGGCCAAGTTCCTGGTGCAGCACGATCAAAACGGTCAAGCCGGCGCAGCTGGAAGCGGACGAAGCATCGCAGTGACTGGATACGGAACAGGCAGAGTACCATCTGAAGGAAAAGCAAGTGGCGGATGTCCCCACGGCCGCGCGCCAACAGAAACAGTAAGTCGAAAAGTTGGAAAAGAGGCTGCAAGCAGCTGCGGTTAAGGCGAAGGAGGAGGTGTCCAAGCAGGTTGCGGCCGCAACGGATCCTCCACTTCCCAGTTTTTTGGGCCGCGACTTCAGCAGCATGGCGACTTGGCGCAATCGGTTGCTTGTAATCTCGAAGACCTGGAACTGGGTGCGGCAGCGGCTCCACTTCAGTCTCTTCTCAGGTCGGCTGTGGCGGCTAAGGCGTAGACTACCACTGCTACGGCAGCAGCATCGACAGTTTCGCTGCCGACAGCTGGCAGCGGCAACCACGAGGAGCCGCGGCAACCACGAGGAGCCGTTCCCTGCCGAAGGTGCGCCCGCTGGCGATGAGGATGAAGACATGGGCAAGCTCGGCGTCAACATCAGCGAGCAGGCCTTCAAGTCTTACTTCGACGCCTGCGCTGGCGACGCGGAGAAGCGTGGGTGGCTCGAGGAGTTCCGTCTTCACGTGCCTTTGGGGCAGAGGAAGAAGCCGCGCTGGGGGTGGCCTGAGCTGGTCGGCGCGCGTCCTCAACATGAATTCCTACAACGGCATAGACAATTGCTTGGCCGAGCCGATCTCAGAGGTCGACCTGGCCATGCTGGCATGCTGCAGGAGACGCGGCCGGTGCACCTGCGGCGACGCAGGGGCTCATCTTCGTGGGCGAGGCAGGCGGTCATCAGCGTGCACCTTCCCGCGCTGGATCTGGCTTCGATCGCGGCGCTCGGCGAGAAGGCTCTCCAGAGGGCTGTCAGGGCGGCAGATCATGGCATTCACGCGCTGGGCTCAAAGTTCGACGGGCGGGCGCTGAAGCAGTCTCTTGGCGGAGGTGGCGGCCGCCGCGCGCTGCCCAGGGCCCCCGCAGGTTTCGAGCCGAGCCCCGTGGTCGCCAGAGTTGCTAATCAGGGCAGCCCGTGCTTCATGAAAGAGCAGCAGTTATGCGAGCCCCTGGATCTACCTGGGGAAGTTGCTCGACTGGATGCCGAGGGCGCAATTGGTGGAGTACCTTCGCGCGGGCGCCGCTGCGAGCGCGCCGCGCGGCATCCACCCGGGCGGGGCGAGCGGGCGACGCCGCGTGGGGCGGGCGCGGAGATGGGCGCGGCGGGGCCGCAGTAGCGGCGCTGTTCGACCTGCTCAGGGCTTCTGAGCAGGTGATGCGCGACTATCTGCTGGATGTGGCACAGGGGTCTGGCTTTCCTCTCTGGCAAGTCCAGCTGCAGATCGAGCTGCGGGCGGCGCCGCGCATCCTCGCGCTGGGCCCCGCGGCCTCCGAGGTGGCGGCGGCTCAGCAGTCAGCCCTTCCTGGGGGGCGGGCTTGCCGCCGCGATGCCCGAATTCCTCCAGCCGGGGCAGCTGGGCGCGGTGGCGCGCAATCCTTTGGCGCAGCTTGCCGCTGCGGTCGGCGACTTGATGGTCCATCGAGCGGGGGGGCTTCCTCGCGCCGCGCAGGAGTCGGCAGGCGCCGCGCTCCGTCTCCGCGCGCCCCCATCTGAGGAAGACCCCGCGATCGCCGCGGCGACGTCCGCGGTGCTGTCCAACGTTCTGCGCGCCAGGCAGTTGCTGGAACTGAAGCTGAGGAGGGTCGCGGGCGCTTTGGGCGCCAGGTTGGGGAGGAATTTAGGAGTTGACTCTGTTTGTGGTTAGAGAATCGTCCGGCAGGTGCGACGCGATCGATCGGCGGCCGCTGGGCACCCCATGAGAAGCGTCTTCCTTCTCGAGCGAGACAGGGGGCAGAACGCGGCAGCGCGCGAAGTCGCGCGAGGCGGGTTGAAGCCGTCAGCCAGCTCTGCGCTCAGAGTCATTGGGCGCGCTGCTGGCGAGCTCGAGCGCCCGCGCGCCCTGGCGCTAGCGCTGATCTGGCGCCCTTCCTGGGCCCCATGCGCCGCGCGACCCTGCAGCCCGTCGCGGCGGTGCTCGGGGCCGCCTGGGAGCACTGGATCCCGCGGCGCGTCGTTGGATATGGTCCACATCACAGCTTCGGCAGCAGTTGGGCCCAGGCGCAGGGCCCTTTCTCGGCGGCGCAGGCCACGTTGGCGCGAGTAGGCCAGGCGGCGCTGGACGCCAGCACTCGGCACGCTAACGAAGGCTTGCTCTTGAAATGTTTTGAGGTGCGCCCTTGGCAAGTGCAGCGTCTCCTTTGGCGCGCTGTCGAAGCGGGGCAATGGTCTCAACTTGAACGGCGCCCTCAATGACGTCACTTGGCTGCTGGAGGCGTCTTGGAGCCATTCGCGCGTCTGGTGAGCGCCGGTGCTGCCGGGCGCAATGGGCTCTGCGGCAGTCAAGTGGCCGTCGATGCTGCGCTGCCGCGAGCGGGCCCCTCGGCGGCTGACGGGGCAGGGGCCGCTGCCCGCGAGTGCGCAGGAACGGCCGCCTCTACGAGTGGCTCGGGCACGGTCATGTCTCATGTGTCACCGCGGGCGGGCTCCTCGGCGGGCGACGGGGCCCGGGCTCTCGCCCGCGGGCACTGCGGCTTGCACTGGTGGCTCGGTTTTCGCTTTCTCTGCTGCGTCACCGCGAGCGTGCCCCTCGGCGGCCGACGGGGCCTGGGCCCTCGCCCGCGAGTCCACGGCCGCGGTGGCGTCCACGAGTGGTCCGAGCGCGGCCGCGTCTGCCGCGCCGCTGCGAGCGGGCCCCTCGGCCGACGACGCGGCGGGGCCCTCGCCGGTGAGTCCGCGCGGTCTGGTAGCTCAGCGCCGGCTTTGGGTGTTCCCACTGCAGGTGTGCTTCGGGGCGTGGACCATTCGGTCTTTGGCGGGGCTGGGGCCTCCGCCCGCGTGTCCGATGACGGCGGCGGCTGTCGCGTTTCCTCAGTCTTGGGGGCTGCTTTCCAGCTTCCCACTGGCGCCAATGATAGATCGCTGCAGGCGGCGTGGTTTGACGCGGGAGAACTGCGGCGCGATGCATTGCGCGAGATTCTCGATGACGCGGTTGCCCCGGCCGCCTGGGAAGCTGGAAGTTCAGGGCAGGGCGCCGTCGAGGTCTCTTCGAGGCGGCCGACGTGCGCCGCGCCGCCTGGCCGTTTCGCTTCGGCCAATGCGAGGCGCGTGGGCCCGGCGGCGCTGCGGGCTGCCATCCCGCACCTGGAGGCCCTTCCTCGTCGCGGGTTGCTCGGCTAGCGGCGCCTGGGTCGGATGGCCAGCCGCGCTCGTCACCTCGCTGGATACATTTGGCGGGTAAAGATAAGGGATATCTGGCTTCACTGGCGGAGAGCAATGTTTGCAGTTCTGCAAGTTTGAGCGCGGATATGCCCAGGGCTCGCAATGTCTTTTGCGCGGGGATTTTGGCCCCCTGGTTCATCGGCACAGTGCTTGCTCTGGACGGCCCGCGGGTCTGCAGATGCCCCTGCCGATGCGACGTTTGGCCCAGCGTGCGCGCGACGATCTTGGCCTCCTGCCTACTGGAACGGAATAGACTGCTCATGCCTCAAGGCATTCCGGCGCTTGCGTGATCTCGAGGTCTTCGCTGGTTAGGAGACTGCGAAGATGGGCGCCCCCCGCCGGGCGCGCTGTATCTCGATGGAACCGCGCGCGGGGGTGAGCACGACAGATGCGCAAAGGTTGTTTGGGCGGTCATTGCTTTTGAGATCGGACTGAGATCCACGTTGGCTTGGGGCGCCCTGTGTGCTGCAGGCGGCCTTCGTCGACGCCGA